AACACCCGCACCTGCAGAAACGAAACAGGATACCCAATCACTCTTGTTACCCAACAGGCAGCAACAAAGATCCAAATGGCCGCGGCGTCGCCCACACGTGGCTACGTATATAACTGAATGATGAAGTCTTCAGTCATACCAACAGGCAGCTCGCTGTCTGGATCAGCACCCTCTATCGGTACCCTGCGCAGCTGGACTTGGGAGCGAACCCGACGCGGACTTCAGCCAAAATCCTCGGTCTCTTGTATTGTCCTCTCCTCGTTGTTCACCAGTGTCCACCCATTCTCATCGTCTGTATGGTTCTTGTCCGATGGGACCTCCCGGTACCACGGACCATCCCGTCCGGTCCGCACCGCGTCGAAGCGCTGGAAGGCGTCCAACGTCTTCCCCGAGGCATGGCCGCCCACCACGTAGACCTCGGCGACGGTTCGGCGCCAACGAAGCGCGAAAGGAGGCCCAAGGAGGCCAAGCGCGAACTGGGCCCGCCCGGCGTTCCCGGATGTTTGGAGGCGGGAACCCCGTGAAGAATCAAAACATCTCATCATTCAGATCATCGGAACCAGAAAGCGGAGGACTTGGCTTCAACAGGCAGACCTTCCCTGGTCAAAATTCCAAATCCTCGTCTTCCAAACCATGGCTGGGAGGTTGTTGGTCATTCTACTCGGAACGGTCGGGCAGTTCACACCGCCCAGCGAAAACAGCGGCCAATACTTTAGCGGGCACAGTCGCAGAATGTCTGTTAATTGAGGGCAGGTGATCTGAATCAAAGGTCCACAACTCAAAGGTCCACAATGATCCACATGTCACCTCCATTCTGCACCATTCTCCCACAGGGCCCACCGCTTCCCCTGTCACTCCAGGCTACCGAGGGCCCACTAGGACCGCGCACCGCCACCCGCGCCTCCCGCGGCGCCGCCGTCCGCGGGGCGCGGAGACCGTGGGGCGGACTGCGGCTGTTCTGCCGCGCGGAGGACACGTGCCGAGCGCCGCCACCTTCCCCGGTGCCGGGGCGCGCCCGGAGCGGGGGCAGATGGGATTTGCGGGTTCAACGGGGGTGGCAAAAGAAAGACTTCAAGACACTAAGTCTGCAAGTCCAGTAAACACTGTGAAGGCTTCTTTGCAACATCATCGATCCGTCTGAAAGTGTGGAAGTCTTGCACTCACCGTACCATCTGTCCCCATCTGTCCCGCGTCAAACGCCCTTTGGGTCGGTCCTTTGGGCGACAGCTCATCCAAGCGCTTGCCATAGTCCTTGAAAGGGCCGCGAAGGACGTCGAACGAGGAAGGTCAGGGGATGCTGGTCAACCGCCAAGAACAGGGTTGTCAGCCTGTTGTCAGCTCTCTTCTCGTGTGCGGAATGGTTCTAAGGGCATCGAAGAATGAAACGATTGCTTTCTTCCACTTTTTGTGAGTTTGATTGTAAGTGTCACAGTATCGCAGCATCACAAAGGACGAGGTTTTTATCAAACGCAATGATCAAAGAGCAGTTTGTTTGGTTTCCAGCCCTGTTGCGTTGTCTTCGGGTCACCTCCAAAGCTGAAAACTACCTCATCTTGCCACCCTATCCAAGAGGTCTTCTCTATCAGGTTTCAGTATGCTTGATGGACAAAAGACCTGCACAATCTCACTCAGAGCCTTCACACTATGTCACTACAGCTTCCACCCATCTCAGGGTGTGTTTATAGCTGTGGTAGAGCCATCTCCATCTCTTCCCCCAGCCCACCCCAGCGGTGGTCGTCGTCGGCCACACTCCTCGACCACCTTCTCCAGCCGTTCCACCCGCCGCACGAGCTCGTCGGGCCCCATGCTCGGCGCCATCGCCAGCTCAGCGGCACAGCCAGCTCGGTGTCCCGTTGCGCAACGGATGTTCGTCCGGTTCCGGAGCGTCGCTAGCTGATGTTCGTGCCTCCGCCCCCTAGAGGTCTCGCACGTAGGAACCTGATGATGCCTGTGAAATTCGCGGCGTGCTTTGGGGTGATGGAATCTTAACTATGCCGACCTATGACCTATGTTTTCATACATGTTGATGGCATCAGATTGGAGCCAGGTTCGCCTTACATTTGGGTCAGCATCAAATCACGGCCAAGAAGAAACCAGCTCCAATTGTGAACCTGTCGAGACGACCCAACAACCCATGGCTGGCAGTAAGCTGCGGACTCCAAGGACTTGTGGACATGCATGGACTGTCGAATTAGGAGAAAAGGAAGGTAGCCATAGCCTAATAGCCTTGTTCGACCACAGGGCCCTTAGTGAGGCCCTTCTTTCTTTTCCTTGCTGTCTCTTGTCTCCATCCAATTCTGCATGCTGCCAAACACCCCCCGTTTCAGCGGGGAATCGGTCATCCAACGACCGTTTCACACCCCAAAAACCATCGTTGGGCCAAATGGCCCCGATTCTCCGATGATTCGGGTTCGCAAATATTAGAGTTGCTGGGAGGAGAGGAATGCTGTTTGTGGGTTGACGGTGTTGCCATGACCCGGGCGCCCCATCACCGCCCACATCACCTCCCCTCAGCCGCCCCGGGCGCCGGACCAGCGCGCCGTTCAGATCCTCCGCCGGACTCCCGCAGCCGGAAACGCCTCGGTGCCGGGAGGGGAGAGATGCAGCCGGAGCACAACTTCTCCTTACCAGCAAAAGCACAGCTTCTGCCTCACCCTTCCCACCCAAACAGGCATTGAAGGGCCTTATCCACCTTGGAGGGATGAGGATGGGAGGATGGGATGGGCGACACTCTTGGAGAAGAATCCCAAGATTGGGTCGTCGAACACCCTTCGTCGCCCTTCAAAAGGGTGGGGCAACACGGCTTGTGACAGGGTACACACTGGTTAGCTAACAAAGAAGCTGAAAAAGTTGCCCCTTGGAAGACTCCTTTCTTCTACAAGCAGGAGGGTTTCCACTTCCATTTTACATCTTACAAAAGTCGTCATCTCTACACTCTACACTATCATCGGCAAGCTGAAGGCTCGTCCAACAAGGCACAGGTCTTTGCAGTTCTTGCTTGTTCAAGCAATCCTTGTTGCGCGGAAACCTTTTTGGTCAGTGACCCAAAGAAACTGGAGACGAATTGGAAACCAATGAATCCCCCCCAAAAAGGAACCTCCTTTTTTTTTGAAAAAAGAAAACGACCTGAAAACGTGAAAACGTCCACCACCTCCTTTCCGACCCAGGCACGGAGCTGCCCCGCCAAGGGCGGCGCGCCGGCATCGTCGAGGCCCAAGTTCCAGTTCGCCAGCGAGGCCTCCGCGCGACGACGTCCGGAGCGCCGGTGACGACGCAGCGATACACACCCCTTGAAATCGTCATGGAAGTGGAAAAACAGCATGGTCATTCTTTTGGGGCCATGTTCCAAATGCCATCCACAGAAAAGTAGATCCCCACTAAAAATGCATAGTAAACCGTGCCACTATCTATTTGGGGACCACTTCACTATACTATACACTCACCATCTATCGAAACGCGCCTCGAGGTCCCGTGGAGGCGACGTCCGCACGGACAAGACTTCGCACCTGTCGCGCGACCGCGCGTTGCAGCACGGCGCGTTGCTTTAAAGTGAAAGTTCAAAAAAACACGAAAGTTGGATCAAGGAATGTCAATCGGCTGCCGTAACTGGAATTTGGTCTGCACTATATTGTGATGTGCAAATCATCTTCTTGGAGGAACATGATGGGACAAGGAATGTCAATCATTCGACTGGCAAAAGAGGCCAAGCTCAGCCCAAAACCCAGTTGATCAGTGCATTGAATTCCCACAAAGTGGCACTTGTGTCAGCTGGATCCCAAACTGCCCTGCGAATCCGCAAAAGTTCAGGTCAATCAGTCAACCTCCAACCATCATTCTTGGCCTACATGTGACAGGACCTAGGCTTAGGCTCCGAGCACAGCCACAGGCACCAGTTGGGCGATCGCCAGAAGTCCTATGCAGGCTTCTTCCGCTCCCAAGAATCTAGGACACGGATTGAAAAGGGTATGGGCCTAGATGTGAAGCCTGCAGGGGTGCTTAACTTGGACACAGTATGCTATACATCACATGCCTATATATATATATATGCCTATATTCTACTCCTGCTGCACTTCCATTGGCAAAAAGGGTAGAAGTTAATCAAGCCAATCCACTGACCTGATGTTGCACCACTCGCATCTGGTCCCTCCGCGTCCCTCCACGTCCATGCTGTCCTGCAACGCCACACGACCTCACACAGGAGAAGAGATGTCTCTGGTTGCAAGTACTCAAAGCCATTCTATATGAAAAGGATGAAAAGGGGATGACTCCAAATAGTTACAGTAAATCGTCAAGCAACAAATTTGACGAGGTGGACATGAATTCTGTTCAGGATTCACTGATTCTGCCAGTGTGCCAGTGTTTCATAGATTGACATCACAATGACCCAAGCTGCTGAGGGGTAACATCCCCCAACCATCGCCCACCTCGCCATCTGCTCCACGAGCTGTGCGAGCTGGTTGTCTGCAGCATGGCGCTTCCGGACAGCTGAGAAGTCCGGCGAGGATTGACGTGGAGCTGAGTGAGCTGAGTGGGCTGAGTGTTGGGTCCTCTTGGTTCTGACGTAGCAACTGCTGGCAGACGCTGCACATGGACCCAAAGGGTCCGATTTCAGTGTTCATGTTTGAGGGTTCACACAGCTTTCGGCCAAGTGATAAGCCTGGCAAGCCAGCTAAATTGCGAGACTTGCATTTGAGTAACCAGCAAACAAACATTGGAGGTATGAATGTTGGTCCTTGTTTCAATTAACTTTGCTCAGGCCACTTCATCTACTCATTCAAAGGGCGGCTTCTCAGTTGCCCGCTTCAGAAAGATTTGCATTGGTGCAGCGGTCCCACCAGTCGTTTAATGTTATTTCATGTTATATCAAGCCAACTCGCGGCTGCAGCACACCCCGACCAGTCATGAAGAACCTCCATTCGCTCCATTGCAGCGCTCATGCCACTGGGCCAGGCCCACAAAAGACTCCATCAAACTTAGCGACTGCATCGGCTTGGCGGTCTTTCCTCTGCTGATTCCAGCGAATCCAGGCTCACAATAGCCAGCGTCGCCCACGCGACATAAATGTTGCATTATTTTTTTCAGGCGTAGACGTACTTCTCTGCAATCTGGTAGATGATTTGCCAATCCTGAGCACGCAGAAAGTCACCATCTGGTCAACACAGAAATTCAGAAAGTCACCTCTCAGAACTCAGAGGCAGAAGGGCAGAAGGGCAGAAGTCTGGTCTCCGGAAGGCTTTGAATACGGTCTTTCTCAAAGGCCAAGCCGGCGATGATTCCCCAGATCCGGTCGTTCCATGCTTGTGATCGGTCTAAGAATTGGACTTGGACCTTTGGTTCACTGGAAGATCGACCAAAATCCAGAAGATTAGAAGAAGAAGAAGAGGTGCGAAGCAAAATCCTGTTGGTCCAAAATCCTCGATTCGTTGGCACCAAAAACCAGAACGACTAAGGGCAGCAGACACGTCAACGGCGTCACCGACAAGGGTTTCCCATCACGGGTGACCTTTGGGGGGGAGAAGCCCGAGTGCCGAGTGCCGAGGTGCATAGACCACTGGGATGATGCCCAGCATCCCCACGAAGAAGAACATGAGGCCTCTGTTCCCCTTGATGCGCCTCAGTGCGGTCTCTGCTGCTTTTAGTCGGTTTTCGTGCTGCGTTTAGACGTTCGCTCCCGCGTGGGCAGCGCGTCACAAGTGAAGAAACCTCCGCTGGATGAGAGCCGGTGTCCCTGGGAAGCTTGAGAACTGAAGATAGAAATAAGGTCGAGCGGCACCGTCAGTTTGGAGTTTGATTGACGCCGATCCTCCCTAGGTTTGGGGGGATTAATTAGGCCCTTCAGTTGGATGGCACGGCCAGCTTCCTCTAGACTCTAGACCACAAACTGGAAAGCCTCGTCACCAGAACCTCACTTACCCGAACTTGCCGAACCTGTCTGCTTGGCTTGTGCCCTTGGTCGTAGTCATGGGCCGGTCATAGTGATAGGTCAAGGTATCAAAACCATCGTTTCCCCATCGAAATGTCTACTGTAGAAAGCGTGGCAAGCGTAGAAAGCCAACATGACCTGGTTGAACTGGCTGGGTAAATGGACCTATCTTGCTCAAGTGATCAGCACAAACAACAGGTGCGGACTGCTGCCCAACGTGTCCCACCTGATTTGCAATGACCATTCCTTCCACCAGACTGGCTTCCCAATCAGGATAGGACGAAAGTAAGGTCCGTTACCCTATCTTGCATGAGGTGTCTCTTTTGGGAAGTACAGATGTCATCGATGTCCGCTCCCTCCGTCGCAGCCCCCGATGACGCGGAGCGGCGTGAAGAGGTTCATCGCAAAGGCGACCAAGAAGCTATGCCTCGATGCCGAGCTTCGCGGCTGGACCGTTGATGACCGGTTTTGGGGTGGCTGGATTCGCTCTTCGTTCCACACCAGGTCACCAAGGTGTATCTTACAAAAAGGAACTTTAACTTGAACTTCGCCTGGCTCCTGTGTTTTGGAACAGCAGGTGTTTTGGAAGAGCAGGAATGCTCCAGACTGGGTTGGTGAAAACGTCCTATGCAACCTGACCCAAGTTGACCGGTTCATGCTCCCAAAACAATTCACCGGCTTGTCAGTCTATACTACTTTCTTGCGCCATGAGAGCCCGAAGAGCAAGGATAAAACAACCCAAGAGCACAGGTTCTTTGTGCAAGGCCCATAAAAACAGGGTAAGCCCATTGGCTCTAGTTCCCACCGCTCGCGTTTGAGAAAAAGCACCTCACGCCCGCTCGCACGGTGTGGGCCACCCCCACATGGCAATAATCAAGCTCCAGAACGCCCGGAGCCGGAACCTGCACGATCGAAGGGAGGCTCCATCGAGTGGGATGGAGCCACGAGTCATTCGGAGGAAGCGATAGAGAGAGTCCCGGATCTGGAAGTGTCTGGAAGATTGAGTGGATCTGTGATCTATGTGTAAAATTAGGGAGATTGAAGGATCGTCAAAGCTGTTTGTTTCAGGCAGGGCTAAAAGTCTGTCTTCATTCTTCCTCCCGAGATCAGCTTAGATTCGATCTGTACTCTTGGGGGCAAAGCCAATGGGGAAGAAGAAACTTGAAGAAACTGGCAGAAATGGAAGAGACACAACTGAAGAGACACCCCACGGTTCGGTCTGGTTGGGAAACCACTCACCTCACCAAAACACTCAAAACACTCTCCTCTCAACACAAAGTCGTCAAAACTTATATCTTCTCAATCCCTCAATGTCATGTGATCTCACGTACTGCATTTGAGGACTCGGTGCTACAAAAGTAGAATCTTGGTAAGCCGTAGACTTTCGATCGCCTTCCAGCGGAAAACCCAACACCACAAACTCATTTGGAATCGAAAGCACAACCTCGCAAAGGTGCTCAGCCACACCTCAAAATGGTTGAACCAAGACCACTTCCCTTGCAGAGCCAGCAGGTGCTTACCTGTTTGCACCAAGAACCACGGCAAACCTGTCGAGATGAGGCCCAACCTTCCCGTGGCTGCTTGAAAGAGATCATAGGACACGTCCTGAGATGCACATTGGATGCAAACATTCGCACAATGGGACACGTTCAAAAGATTCCAGCAATGAAACGAGTCCCCCAGGTCTTCCCGATACTTGTCACAAAGAGCAAAGCCCATCCCGTCTCTTTTGGAAATCAAAGCACAGACTCATGACCAAGCTGCATGATTCGTTGCGTTCCAAAAAAACAACAGTATTTGCGTGGAAAATGGACCCCTTCCCCCAGCTCACGCACCAAAAGGAATGATTCACATGATGTTCTGTGAAAATGCTCTAAATTATATGATCACTGCCTCCACCTTTAATCGTCTTAGTCTTATTCCATCCCAGCTTCTGAAACGCCTCAAGACAACCAAAGTTGTCAAGGCGGAAAAAGGGGAAAGCCTGTACAAAGCATCACCAAAGCTTGGTCTCACGCTATCTGCTTCACACAGCTGGTGTGCTTGTTCAAAGTTCAAACCAGAACATGCCAAGCAATTTGCAATGGCATTCAAAAAAGAACCCTTCGTATCTCTTCTTGATCACTGTTCTTATCACTTGAGCCTCTTCTTAATATCGTTTTTGTGAACGATCTTCTCGATCTGGAGCCCTGCATGGACCTGGAACCGGACTTTCAAGCCGATGAACTTGTTGGACCAGGGATCATGGAGCTCCTGTAGGACTTGGCCAGGCCGATAGCTCGTTCCTCCACCATAATGGCTGATGTATGTCACATACTCGCCTGCGTGGTACTTTTTTCCGCCACCCGGCATCGCTAGAGGCGCCAAATTTGCTGGATCCAAACTCTGGAACCACTTGTGCCGAAGGTCTGTGCCGCAAAGCCCAACATGCTCATGTGCTGGGATCACACTTCCATTGGGATGAAAATGTGATTCCCCAGAAGATGTTCAGGCTCTGAAATACCAAAGAAAACCGAGAAAAAGCAAAAAAACGAAGATGTAGAGCAGGAGCCCGTTGTGGCAAACCGGGTTGGGCTCGTCAAACCCATCTAAAAACATGGAGAACAAACATATCATACAGCTACAACCCATAAACATTTACAACCCTTAACTCCAGCAAAACTGAAACTACAAGCTATGAACCAGGAGCCCCACAGAAACAAAAACGACACAACAAAAGGAAAACAAGGCTAAATAAGACGGATGAACCAACAAGAAAGAGGAGCGAATGAAAAACAAACGACTCGAGCCTTGGAAAATCTTGGAAATATGTTTTTTGTGTGTTTACACTGCCAAACACCTGCATTGTTGTTCACCAGCTACCCTGCATCCATGCAGCCTTGTACAGGCCCAGCGCCATCACTGAGTAGATCTTGCACAACAGGAACATGACCTGCGAAATCCGCGGTCCACGAGATTCTTCATTTTCACGCGGACCACAAAAACTGTCGAGGCGCACGATGAATCTCCCTTCACGGACTTCAGTGGTGCTTGCTTTGTTCCGTTTCCTCTTAGAGCCAAGCCGAACGAACGACATGCTTTGCGTCCACGAACGTGTCACACACGGATCCGAGCCGCCACCCGGTCACCGGTCGTCCGGGTGGCTCTGGGCTGTCGGGCCATGGTGTAGGTGCTGCAGACCACAGAGATGGACGCAAAAATCATCTGCCCTTCATACATCAGCCTGGCACCAGGTATTTTGCAGTTGCGGAAGTGGGTTCCAGGAGAGGAGTAGCTTTGGCAAATGGAGTTGAATAATTTTCTTTGAATGATACTTCCATCAGAGGTGTCGTTACGAAGCATGTCAAAACCTCTAGGCCATGTCTCTGCCCTAACCCTTCCTTGCGCACGGATCTGTTTCCCCACTCTGGTTAGCCCTTCAAACAGTGGACATCCCTCGCTAGAGTTGGGAGTTGGCTGATCATGGATAGGACAGTCGGATATCGTCTGAAACACGCTCCATCCGGCGCTGCTCCATCCGACCCAAGCCAGCCTGTGCAAGTTCGGGTATTTCAAACCTCACAGTTTGCAAAATCGCACCTTTTTTGATATGGCTGTGGGTCAAAACCCAGCCCCCTGATCCCGAATGTTGAATGCTGATAATCCTTTGACAACTAACAGCAGGAGAAACATCTTGGCCAGCTAGAGGGGCCAGGAAGATGTTCCCGTTTGTCCCTGGAACTATCCACCTGACCTGGCCTGCATTGTGGCTTTTGTTCACTGATGTTGCGGCACACCCCAACGTGGCTTGTTCCATACGCTGCACCCTCAAACATCTCCAAGGATTTCCTCAGGGAGTTTGGAGTGTAAATCTGCGAACAAAGAAACCAAAAACAAGTCCATCTTGGCCATCTTCGCCATGTTCGCCCATAGGGCGCACTTCCAGAATTCCCACACCTTCCCCAAACACCCGACCGCCCAAGCCACGCTCGTCGGTCTCATCGGGCTCCTCCACCGAACTGTGGAACCTCACCCGAACCCACCGGGCAATTGGTACACCGTCGAGACAGCCCGGACGACCACGACCCGAGCGTTGAAAGCAAACACGTCGACGCCTAAAATCACGCCGCGCGCCAAGTCTTTCTCAACATGAACTCTCCATTACATCGACGTGAATGTGTTAGCCTTGAAATCTGATTCGGCCAACATCGTCAGAACCGCTTGCTTGGGGCCTGCAAAGGGGTGGATGGATATATACCCGAACTCGAAGTGACCACACAGCTTCTCTTTCCCACTCCCAGGACGCCATGCACTGGCCGCACCCTCGGGCCATGCAAAAAACCGGACGCCGAGTTCGCACCGTTTCAACCCGACCGAAAGCACCGACCGATGAACGAAGTGGGTCCATTCGAACGGATGTTCCCCCATCGCACCGTCCAACGCGGCGAGAAGGCCACCCTCTTCGCCCAGGCGCCCGGTGATCACCTGTAGCAGGACTGACGCCACGATGGCGTAGGTATCCATTCCGGTCACCTCAATTGGATGAGAACGGAAAAAAGTCCGAACCAATCACATGTGACAGGTGCAACAGGTGTGATAGAATCTGTGCCCAAGAAAAACACCTGTTGGGGTATCACGAACCACCTGTTGGAGAGTCCTCAGAAAGTCTCCTTTGGTGATGACCTTCCATTCACAACACGTCAAGCAATTCTTCTTCCTTCTCGGTCTGCACCAAATTCCTTAGCCCAGTGGCCCGGAGCCCAGCTCGGTCCAGGTTCTCGGGTCCTATCCAGTGCACCTCGCTCCGGCGGCGACGGTTCCGTGGAATCCCGTCCATCGGTGGGAGACCCTCCAACGATGCCCTTGCTACTAGTAGCGATGCCCTTCGTTACTTAGTAGCTTCTTGTTGCTAGCAATGCCAGGAGCTACCAGTAGCGTCCTTGAGACCCAGTTTGCTGCCTTTTTCCTTGAGACTCCACAGGGGGACTCACCTGGTTCTTTCTGTGACCAATCCCGATCGGGTGAGTCACAGGACTGGTGGGGTGTCCGCAACGCGCAGAGGTAAAGGGCAGTCGTTTCATCGCCGAGGGTGCCCCAAGGATAGCGAGAACAAAACCTTGTGGGTCAAAGCATTTCTAAGAGGGAGAAAGAAAGAGACAAATTGTTCTAAAAGGCAAGGATGCCGGACACATTTGCGTGCAATAGCAACCGTTTGAAACCCTTCCTGGCATATACATTCGATTGACCCAAATAAGCGAAACCCACCCCATGCGTCGGCAAACGGTCTTTGGCCTATCACACTTGGAAACTCAATCCGACCCAGTCCACCCAGCTTTCCTTCGAAGGAGATCAACCTGGCAAAGTCTGAGATCCCAACATCCGCCTCGGACCGCGACCCTGGAGACCTCCACTCTCAGGCCCCGGACCCTCCAGAGTTGCAGGTACCGATGCAAGTGCAGAAATTGCCGCACCGGCACCGCGTCATGCTGAGCGACGTGCACGGATGATCTAGTCGATGGGATTCCAGAGGTGAAAAATATCAGGTGCTCGTCCCAAGAGATCGGCAACTTCTTGCAGCAAAAATACATGTGCATCCATCCCGCGGATTGAAAAAGTGCGGATGATGAAGTGATAGAGGCTCTTTTTTTTAGGATGTCACACCATCTTCGTTCAGGTCTCTACACAAAATCGAAAGGATGACTGTTCCGAAATCATCTTTGACGACAAGGGGGGGGCCCACTGGTCCTTTCTCCAGCGTTATTTGCATGGAACATCTGGAAATCTCCGTAGTGAAACACCCCGCAATCTTTTGAAAAACCATCAAGATTGTGGTCAACTTAGTATGTCAAGGACTCAAAAAGAATTGTACCATCACGCATACCCAAACCCAGAAGACTCTAGAGTGGTATTTTGCTGGAAAGCTTCCAATCTTCAGCCGTTTAACTACTGGGAATTAAAGGTCATCCAGGTCCATTCCGCACGATTACCCCTCTTAAAGGTTTTGTAAATCTCCATTCAGTCCTTGCAAAATGTGGTGCTGGCAAGCACTAAATTTCAATTCAAATGTTTCTACATTACACAGTACACCGACAACTTGGATTCACCCGGAATTCGATGGAAGTCCGCTACAACTCATCCAAGATCCTGTACCAACCATCACACCTCTACAATCCTCTACACCCACCTTCCCATCCAAATAAGTAGGTTGGAGGCCATCGCTACTAGGGTGAAGGAAGATCCCTGCCATCCATGGAGAGCCGAGGCACCGGCAACGCCCTGCGCCATGCCTTGGGCGACTTGGGGATCGCCACCTCCGCTGGCCGCCCTGGGCCCGCACGGAGCCGGTTACAGTCCGGGAGATCCAAATGGAGAGGATCTGCCAAGATCTGCCTCTGTTCTCAAGAAATTGGTTTTGATGACCCTGTGAATTGGAAAAAGGGAACATAAAGAAACTACAGGAGAATGCATGTGGTTTTCTCATGTTTTCTCTGTATGTGTCCTATTTAAAAAAAAAAAGAAACGTAATATATATATATGTATATATTCCTTTGTCATCCTGGATCCTAAAAGGACCCTTGTCACATCGCCATCATCATCCCTTCGCCCGGCTCCAGGGTGCCCCCCTTTAGACATGCTCCCGAGACCGACGCCCCACCTGTGAGCTCTGTGGAACAGGTGGAAGGAGTACGGCAAGCGTGGAAGCACAAAAGCTTCGAGGAGGAGAACCTCGTGGTGCTACGTGCCGTGCTAAGGCGACCCGTTTTCAGAGGAAAAGTGGGGAGACCGATTCTGTCGCGGAAGAGGCGATTCGACCGGTGGTGCTATGAGTTCAGATCCAGGAACTCACATCCGGAACACAAGGATGGTTCCATGAATCTCGGAGTATAGTCCATGCATTTCAGGAACAAAATGTATATATATATACAATGGTCAAAGCTCAAAAAAGAAAACAGCCAGGCTCCATTCCCTCCATTCGCTTGGGGCAAACAGAAATTGAAGGGTTTGTCAGAAAATTCCTCACTGGGCCAATCATTCAAAAAAAAGATCCAAAATTGTCCAAAGAGCATTCTGGAAAAAAGCATCGACACTGCAGCTGCAGTACCCAACCCTGTTCCACCAAGCTGCGCCAATGCCAGGGATGCGACCACCAAGCGGGACAAAGGCCCTTTGCGTGCCATCGTCATGACGGCTAGTCTTTGGCGCGTCGAACGAAGGCCGCGATCGAATGAACGAAGGTCGAGACGGTCGAGACGGTCGAGACGGTCGCGGAACGTGGGCGACCGTTGTGGTCGAATGCTCGATCCTGGAGCCAACGGCAGTACCGGTCGCCACTGGTCTCTGTGGAGTGGAGTCGGCACGAGGCCGGCGAAGCTGAGCTGTTTAACTGAATGAGGCGGAGATGGTGGGAGTACTCCTTGGCTTATATACTCATGGAACTTCACCGCTTGATGAACTGAAAACACCGTGGGTGCACCTTTCCCCGCTGACCCATGCCCACCAAAGCTGCTCCGGTGGCACATCAGTTCCATCGCTTGACTCCGCCGTGACTCCGCTTGACTCGCAGCAGCCTCGCCCTTGACTCGCAGCAGCCACGAAAGGATCCACAAAGGGTCGTGTGCAGTTCCCCAACTTTGGAGGCCGACGCCTGCAACGGCCGTCGGAGTGAACTACTCATCGTCATCCTCATCCGAATCGACCGCGAAATCCTCCGCAGCCTCCTCGGAAAGCGTGGGATCCGCCTGAGGGGTCAGCCAAGTGGCCAAGCAGCGACTCACACATTCACAAACAACAAAGGACTGCAGTGACTACAGTCGGTGGTAGGGGGGGGAAATACTGCCCACTGACACAAAATCAAGCAAATGGCCATCAGATTCTCCTCCAGAAATGCTTCTGTCTGATGCAACGGCCTGCCTCGGCCAACTCCATGGGCTCCTCCTCTTCTTCAGTCTCGGCGGGGTCCTCTAGTAGGTCAGGCTGCTCCTGGCGAGGACTACCAGGCCCTCCAAGTACTTGAAGCCCCAAGTTCAGTCACGGTCCGATCTTTTTTCAACCAGGTTGTAAAAAACCATGAAAAAATACAAACTTGAAGGTGGGCTCAGAACCTCATTACAGTGCTGAACTTGGAAATTCCCAGGAACCTGCCATAGCTGGTCGTCTCCTTGCTCCCAAAAGAATCCGTTTCCCAAGCTAAGAAGTAATCCCCTCTCCAGAACGAAATATCCGGAGCCATCAGTGCCCCTGTGACGACTGAACCACCCCCCCGCAGAAGAACGCTTTTTGGAAAGGCCTTCGACTTGTCCACACCGCACCAGTCAGAAATCGGTGAATCAGCAGCACACAAGGGGCATCGGGGGGGGGCACCAGGTCCATCCTACTTTGTAGGCAGGGTACAGTATCTCTTTTTCGGGATTGAACATCCGTCTTCTCCTCATCCTCCAAGTTCGGGTCTGCCCGCAGCGCTTCATCGACCTGCACACGTCTGGGAAAACGACTTCTTGCGGGTGTGCTTGGAGGCTTATTGATGTTGATACAAACCCAAGTGACCCTTAATAGGATTGATGATGTCCCTTGGTACCCCCCAGTCATCCCCAGTTGATGTCTGAAACAGATTGTCACCAGATCTTTCCCGGCTTCACCAAAAGCTTCACCTGAAAAAATAGAGAGTGGCAGGCTGTGGGAGTGCACCTTTTTAGAAGATTGAATGTGATTCCTTTTAAATGGAACAATTCCTTTCATTTTCCCTTTTAAATATGATTCATTCCTTCCATATGTCCTGTTCCCGTTTATGAATCTCTTTCCACCTGCAATTGGTATAATTTCATTCAATGTTCCTCTTAAATTTGATTAATTGGTGTCATGTTCCCTTTAAAATTGATTAATACATGTATGTTGATTATTTCCTGTTACTTTCCCTTTAAGAAGTTATCTATTCCTTTCATTCATCCTTTGCAAATGATTAATTCCATTTCATTTTCCCTTTTAAATTGAACAATTCCTTTCATGTTCACTTTAAAATTGATCATATCCGTTCATATTAAAAAGAAATTAATCATTGCTAAAGGGAAATGAAAGGAATTGATCGTTTTCAAAAGGTAAATGAAAACAAAAAAAAGAATAGTTTTAAAAAATATTAATAAATACTTGTTTAAATAGAAAACTAAAGGAATTCATCATTCTTAAAAGGAAATAGAAATCAAAAACATTAATCATGTCTAAAAGGAAATAAACACCGAAATAATCATTGTTAAAAGGACAATAAAAGGAAATAATCATGTTCAAAATAGAAATCAATTGTTCAAAAGGAACATAAAGTGAAATAATGTTTTTTAAAGGAAAATACCAGGAACCAATCATTCTGAAAAGGAAATTAAAGGAAATAACATGTTCAAAAAGGAAACAAATTGAATAGGTTTAACCTTTAAAGGAATCAATTACTGGTTAACATGAAAAATAGTATATAAATTCAAAAAAATACAAAAACCAATCATTTAAACGTTTAACATAAATGAAAAAAAAATACTTAATGGAAAATAATCATGTTTAGAAGAGCAATGCAAATAGATAGTAATTCTTCAAAGGAAATAAAAGGAAATACAAATTTTAAAAAGGAACTGCACACCCTATGTCTGAAGTCTTGGGATGGTTCATGGGGTCTGCAGCTTTTTTTTCCAGAACCTCGAGAAAACCAACAGAAACAAAAAAAGCCAAAGAACCAAAAAACAAAAAACAAAATTCCGAAAGTCTTGGCTGGGACCCCCCCCCCCTTCCAGAGAGTCTGGGAATATTGTTGTTGTTTGTTTTTTGGGTTTCTTTGTTTTTTTGTTTGTTCGATGTTTTTGGCCTCCCTCGTTCCAAGAGTCTGCAAATATTGCCTTGCCTGCTACCAGGTTCAGGTGACCCAAATGATCATGCATATGGGAGTGCAGTTTATGTAGTAAAATCTAGGCCTAGCCTATTGCTAATGATAATGAAAAGAACGTGAAAAACTGCACGCCCAGGAGCTGCCGTCCTTAAAAAATATGGGTGTGGGCGGTGTGGGTCAAAACCCCGTAACCATGGTTCACCATCGAAAAGGAAAAGAGTCATTGTGGTATGTCAACCTACCATGGTTTGCCGGGTACTGCTTTTGACCCATCACCAAATGAAAAAAGTGACCACTTCCAGTAGGTGGATTGAGATCGAAAATGCTCAAAGGCGGGAGGGTCGATTAGTTGCTCACATTCACTCTCTGTAACTTCCAAAGCCATCTCAAAAAATCACCAACTTGTTTCTGACATGACATGCCCTTGAAGATTGACAGCGTGGATGAATCGTCTTCACTACACTTCAAGAACACCGAGAGACGCCAAACCTTGGGGGCTGTTTTCGCCCCCACCCATACAAACCCACATCCAGGACTAGCCAAAAAGCCCTTCTTCATCAACCTTTGAGTCATCCTCCAAGAACTCCTTGCCACAGGCGTTTTGGATGTGTCACCCACACTCTTATCATCTCTCACACCCACAGAACTCCCCACCCAGCGGTCCTCAAGCACCGGCTCCACATCCTCCACATCCTCGCTCTCACCGTGCGGAGACGTCTGCACTCTTTGCTTCTCCCTCTGGAAGAACTGAGCTGAGCTCGGTCGGACGTGTCCTGAGCTGATCGGAGAGATCGGCGGACTGGGGGCGCCGTGCGTATGCAACTTCCTCTGATAGCGTCCTTGCTCCTAGTAGTAAGGCCAGGAGCCCCTAGTAGCGTTCTTGTTCCTAGTAGCGATGCACCTGTTAGCATGGAACCCCAAACAGTTGGGGGAACCCCAAACGGTAAACTGCTTGGGGACAAAGAGCGCTGAACACACGGAGGCCACGACCGTGCCGGACGGCGAAAGCGGACGACCGTGCCGGTCCTGGGACCACGGTGCTGGCCTTGAGCCACTTCCGGATGGACTCGGGCGAGGGCTCCTGGGCGGCTAAACCTAATGAGAACCCAGCATAATGGCCTCTAATAGCGATGGGCTCCAACCGCCCCTAGCGGGCTAAATATAGAAACTGCATAGACTATATAAACAGTTGACTCAGTGGTCTCCTTTATGCCTTTATGCACATCGGTCATCCTCCTAAAGTTCTGTCGCTCAAAACAAATCTTCAAGATGTATCTACACCCATATCAGTCAACCCTGCCCATTTATCGCTCGTCATTTGAGTGGTGTTCCAAACCTCCTTATAGATTACAAGGAAATGTTTTTTCTATCTCTTGCACAAAAACCTTGAACGATGCTTAGGCGACCACAGTGTGAGCTTGCGCTGGACCTTACACAGTCCAATGCTGTGGGACAGTTGCTAGGGTCTTGAGCTGGTACCAGGAACGTGATCGCAAGTTGTACGTTCGATGGGCTTGCAGTCGAAGCTTTGGTGGAGTTCGCGACATTGCGGAGGGGAAGGAGTCAAAGTCAGAGGCACTGTACATTTCCCAGCACTCATCAAAAGTGTTCCTCGTTGTTCCTCTTTCTGCGTGTCAGTGAATTGGAAATTATCTTCAACATTGCTTGCACGAGCCTGCGCTAAAACAGGTCTTGCTACTTCTCGTGCGTTTTTGCTTGTGCGGTGTATGCCTGAGCGAGCTGGGAACATGGAAGTTGCTTGCAGGGCGCCTTCAAATGAGACCTTTGTTTTGGACCTTCTGCGCAGAATGTGAAACTGCGAGGCACGTAGACGACCGAGCTCTGATAGGAGTTTAGATGGAAAATGCGTTAGTGCAAGTTGGGTGGGATTCGCTTCAAGTCCCCTTAACAATTGGATTTTGATGTTCTTGGTAGGGGGATGGGCGAGAGCACTTGTGGTACTTGCGGCGAGGGCGCTTGCCCGAAGCATGCGCACAAATTTATGCATGTCCACATCGAACTCTGAACCTAAATAGTATACCAACTGATCTCTTTTGCTCCGTACAAACCTGGTTGAGGGCCTGTGCCTGTGGTCCCCCAAGAGCTCACATGAAAAGGCTATAAGGGAATCCACAAGCCACCAGTTGGAACGAAAACAAAATTTGAGGTCCGGAACTTGTGACAACACTCTTCTTCAAGTTCACCTCAGTCTTTTGGACAATCAATCCCCCGCACGCAAGAAATATAAAGAAACTCATGAACGAACAGTTCATCTAATCTAAAGTGTGTCATACAAACAGTCAGTCATTCAAGCACTATAGTGAAGCTTACGCAGCAAACCAAAGGCGTTGCACGAACCTTGTGAAAAGCATGCACGCATATGGCAAGTTTTGAAATCATATAATTCCCCGAAAAGAACTCGAAGTTCCTTGCCACCGCTTTTGAACACGGCCTTTCTCCTCCTCCAATCCTCCTGTCCCGGCCCTCCTTCTTCAACTGCTCGACCTTCCGCTGCATCAGCGTCGACACCTCTTGTTCGACACACTCCGCAGACGACGCCGCGGCGACCATCAGCGCCAAGGCCTCGGCGGACGTCTTTCACGGTCGTTGCAGAGCCTCCAGAGCCGTGTTTGGTGTCATCCCGAAACCAGAAAAGAACTTGGTGACAATGCTGGTCCTCATCCAGTGGTTTATCCAGGGACCAGATTCGCTGGGTTCCTGATTCGTAGAGAAGAACAGTCTAAAGAGAAAGAGGGCAAAGCTGACTAGTGGACTATGCTGACTCAAATGTCGGAGTCACTAGAGAATTCCACAACAATATTGATGATATTGATGGTGAACGGATTGTAGGATGTATGAGACTCTTGTGCCCTGACATCTGTGTTGTGGAACATTGTGGAACTCTATGACGTTTTTTGAGTCGGTCAAAGGTCTGCTTCTCTAGGGTCGGTTTGGTGCCAGTCAGTTGGTGGTCAATCACTGCAGATTTGCCAAACCAACGAAATCAAGGACCACTACAGTGTATAGAACATTTTTTAAATCTGAACACCAAAAAGAAAATAATGGGAGTCACGCACAGCTCTGTGCCACCCAGCGGCTGCAAGGCCCATCATGGTGCTCAGCACGTCAACCGCACAGTCACGCAGCGGTTTGTTCAGTGGCGGGGCTTCACTTTGAAGCGAAGCTAACCGACAATGTGTAGGTTCGGCTGAGATAGCGTGGCTGCAGATCATGGTCGAAAAAGCGCTGGGGCATCTTTGAAGCCCCAGCTGTCTATCTTGGAAAAATCCTGGAAAAACCACTTGCCCACACCATCCGTCCTCCTGTGCTCCAATCCGACCCAAACTGGCCTATGCTCCAACCCCTTTCTATGCCAGCATCCTCCCGCACCAACCCCCACCCCTGCAGTGACGTCACTCCTTTTGGGTCGACCGTCGTGCACGGTGCATCTCACCGGCTCTCGGGCGTTCGGAGCTTACAGCGAATCTTGGTGCAGCCCGCGCCCACGACCTGAGGAACACGCGACGATCCTCGGCGTCGGAATCGGTGGAAGCGCAGCCGGAGGGCTGATGCTCTTGGAGGCAAGTCACAGCGAAGAGTATTCTAAACTTTGCTCCTTTCCTCACGAGAGGGTACCGAAGCCGGTCATACCATGTCATACCCCCAAAAACTGTTGCCTGCCCGTGCGTTCCACTCGCAAGGCACGACCCGCTCAGCCAATGCCCAGCCCATTCGCTGCCCCAGTGGCATCGCCGTCCATGATGGGATGCCAGCTGCTTTCCTGGCGTTCCCCGCTCAAACGCAGGCACGTGCCATTGCAGCTGCCCAAGTCCTCAAATGACGTGCGATCTCTGAGATGATGGAGATTTTTAAAAATGGGCAAGACGTGACTTGCCACGGTGTTCTGAAAATGAAGGACCCCCTAACAAGGTTTCCGTCCAAGAAGAATGGGGATTGTAGACTAAGAAACAAGAAATCTCCGATCGCTGTTTCAAACTTTACACATAGACTGATGTTTTGGGAAGCCCCAAAAGGCTGCTCTGAATCCTCTCTCTTCGGCCACCCTGGTCGCCGAAGTCCAGCGACTCTGGAAAACTGAGCATTCCTGGTCATCGATACTCTTTTGGGGCTCACAGGTTAACGCAAGTCAGTGACTGTGTGACCCCCAACTCCCCGTTTCTTTTAAAGAGGGGAAAAGAAAGGTGACACTGGTGACAGCCACTTCTCCAAAAAGTGATGTAAAGAGCCACTGGGACCCCCTTGCTGTGATGTAGAAGCTACCCTGCTCCAGGAAGATCATCGCATGGTGTGCGCTCACCGTGCCTGGGTTCGCGAGCGTGCGAACGATCGATGACCCGACCGAACGGTCTGTTCCAAAGAAGCAGCGGAAAATCCGAATCATGATAGGTAGGTATATGGTAGGTATATGATATATATGTAATTCTTGCTCTCAGTAGTCTGGTTGAAATTAATTTGGCCCCTCCCGCCACTTCCTCCTTCCAGTTGGCAAGGGAACTGAGCCTGGTCTGGAGTTTAGACCTGCTATTTACGCAAGAAACAAAGCTTTGTCTCCCAGAGCCTTTATTCCAATTTAGGAACAAAAAGTCCACATCCTCTTGTGCGAACGTCGGCTTAAGCCTAGGCGCCCGATGTGGTTCGCGCATCGATATGCGATATCATCTTCGTAGAAATGACCATAGACCGTACAACCTGACCGTACTACCAGCTTGCACCCACACATCCATCACATTCCATCACCCCATGGTTCATCCTCTTTGTGTAGCGCGTGCCACAACGACCGTGCACAACGACCGGGAGACCCGCCGGGCTTCATTGCCAAACGACTGTTTGTTAATCACGCTTTGTGCATCTCAGCATCCCGTCGGAGGGAACCAAAACAAGCGGAAACAAGTGGACACAAGTGGCACGCACGACCAACGAACAGCCATCATATGCATCTAAAGCCCCTTAGCCCACCTCAACCCTTAGGCTCAGGCACCCTACCCTCCTGTCCCACGAAACCGAAGACGCCCTTCCCGTCGTTCTCCCCTTTGCCGGGGAGCCGTCTTGTACCAGCACCAAGGAGTTGTCGGCCACCCGGCCAATGGTGATGCCGCCCGGCGGGATCGTCACCTCGCCCCGGAGCGGAGCGTTCTCCGGAGCGGTTCTCCGGAGCCGAAGAAAAAGGGTCCAATGCAAGTGATGGCGCCCCTTTTCCAAGACCTCAAAAGGGCTGCAAATGTACGTGTACAAAGTGTATGTAAATGCTTGCACCCCCCTCGAAACTTTACATGAGTGTAGGGTTTCGCAAGCTCAGGCTGGTCCCTCCATGGGACAGCTCTTACACAGTCTCAAGACTGAAAATTCCCTTGACCGCTGCGCCAGTCTTGCGCATGTGCAGTCAACATGGAACACGTCGCGGCCTTCCAACCAGAAGACCTTGCTCCACTTCTGTGCCATCCACTCGACTTGGGTGCTCGCATCCTTCGTCTCCGTCGTCTTCCCAAGTCGGATGCTCAAGCCCCCATTGATCTTGCCGAACAGCCAGAGGAATCCGGCCAGCATGCAGGCCTGGATCAGCAGGACCCAGCCGAAGGCAATGGCCAAATCCATGAAGATCCACTGGCTGAGGGTGCCATTCTCGGTATTGGGCTCTTCTGCTTCCCTCGCTCCATCGGCCTGCTGCAGCATCGTGATCAGCGCTGCAATCATCATCTTCTTGCTGAACTGGCCAGCGGCACTCACCACATTCACGTGGTTCTTCTCCTTCTCGTTGACCTCCTCATAGGTGCCAATCTTCAACATGGTCCTCAACTTGTGGAATCTCTCGATTGTCAGGGCTTTCGTGCCAAAGTCAGCTGTGTTGTCACTGCTCGGCACAGCATGCAGCGTAAACAGCTTTCGCTGCAAAGCTTCTTGAACCCATAGGCTCTTCACTTCCAAATGGCGGATGCGCCCCACACCTTGCCGTTGGAAGACTCCTCTTGCTGCGCTTGAGTCCAGGAAGACTTCCATCTTGATGGGATGTCCTGCAAACATGAAGATCTCCTTCAGGAACAATCCCTCGGCACATGCTGCCACTCCTCCATTGAACTCGGCTTCACCTGAGGACAGGCACAGCATCTGTAGGCTGCGGGCGTAGCTGTAGAGCAAGCAGCCACCAACACTGAACATGGCGCAGGCACATGACTTTCTTGTCTTCTTGCAATTCGCCCAGTCCGTGTCCGAATGGACAACAAGGGTCTCGATGTCCCCCCTGCGCTCTAGCCAGATGCCATAGTCCTTCGTGCCCTGCAGGTATCTTGCCAGGCGATGCAGCTTTGCCATGCTTCCATCATTGGGGTCTTTCATGTCCTTCGTGAGCTCGCGGATGGCAAACTGGATGTCAGTCCGGTCGTAGCTCAAGTAGAGTGCAATGCCAACTCCAGCTCTGAACAGCTTCGTGCAGCTCTCGTTCAGTTTCTCACCCTCCTTCACCTCACCGTGAACATAGGGAGTCGGTGCTGGGTTGCAGTTCTCAAGCTTCAACATCTTCAGCAGGTCGGTGATGTACTTGGACCTTGGGCTGATGAAGATTCCATTGCTATGGATCTCCCTTGTGCGCTTCAGGTGCGTGAACTTCTCTCCCTCGATCAACGGGTGGATCTGGCTCTTCATGCGAATCCTCTTGTGGAGCTCTTTCTCCAGCTCTTCCAAGGATCTTTGCGGTCCGGTGGCAAAGAAGTCATCCATGTGAACTTCCATGAGGATGCCCTTGCTGGAATTATGGAACAGCCAGGGTGCAGCTGGGTTGCGGCTAAACCCCAAGTCCTTGAGGTGCCCTGCTGCCCATTCGACGAAACTTGTCCAGCAATCCTCCTCCCATACCATTCCTTCTTCAACTTCCAAACCACCTTCTCGGGCAGGGTCACACCGGCCTCGATCTGCTTCTCGATCCAGTCCTTCGGAGGGAGCATGTATGCATCTTCTTTGATGGGAACCTGCCAGAAAGCATTCTCGGCGTCCGCAGTCATGAAGGCGTAACCCATCTTGATGCCAATGACGTCCACCACTCTTGAAGTCGATGTACTGGAGGCTACAGCAAACACATCAGTCCTTGGATCACCTCGTTTGAACTCGCGGACACAGTATCGGCATCTCACTGCTCCGTCCGGCTTTCGCACCTCCACCCATGTGGCATCCAGCACCTTCATTCCAGGCTGGTAGGACACAGGCTCATAGGTGTCGTACTTGTCCATCTTCCCATACTCGACCTCTCGGCCTTGTGCTCGTTCCTCTGCCGTCAAAGGCTTGCTCTCCTCATCGTCGGAGTCCACTGCTGCCATTTCCACATCCTCCTCATAGACGATCACATCCTCGGTCGGCGAGTACAGTGCTCCAACATATACTCCGCCCACGCGTGCCCTCTTTTCTGGGTTTTCATCATCTCCACCAGGCCAGGCACGTCTTGCAGAAACCTTGATCTCCATGGGGGACTTGTCGATGACTTGTTCAGTCTCCATCGCCTCCTGAGAGGGCTCCACATTGGCAGGCTTTTCGCTGATGAGGATGGGTTCGTCATTCCGTCCACTGCCGGACGATGGCCCGCCTTGATTGAGTGTTGGCTCTGTCGGCTCTTCCTCAAAGGTCTTGATCTTGGCCTTCTTCTCATCAGTCTCAGCTTCCGTTGGAACTGCACTTGGGGTCATCGGCATGATTGCCTCGATCTTCCTCTTGGGACGTCCAATGGTGGTTCCTTGGTCCCAAGGTACCCCAATCATGGCCTCCAATAGGTCTCGGTCATGGGCCTTGGCGCTGTCGGCGAATCTCCTCACAGATCTTGCTGACACGGTGCGATCTGGCGTGTCAAGGAGGTACTCGTTGCTGGTCACACTCCTGCCGAGGTAGATTCCCTTTGCCCACGCCGTCTCACCTTTGGTGATCACATTTCTCCCATGCGCCCTTCTGGCCTTACTCATGGGGGTCTTGAAGAGGACTGTCTCCGCGAACGGGATGAGAGGTGACGTGTACTGGCAGTCAAATGCATCCTGGTATGCTGTGCGCTGGTTCGACTTGACTGCATAGCGGCATCTGATGAAAGAGCAGTAGCGCACCAACCAGGGCCATAGGTTGTGGGATGTATGCAATGTGATGCCATACTCCGCTTCGACTGCATACCTCAATGTCAGGACATCTCCACGAAGCAATTTCTGGAATGCCCACATCGTTCCAAGGCTCTGTGAGCTATACCTTGGAACCTCCTCGAAGATGATCTTCAATCCAGCAGCTCCGGGTGCTTCACCCTTCCTCAAGGCCTCAGCGATCTGCCCCTTCACTTTCTTGATCGCTGGTTCGTTGTCTGATCTCAGCTTCACTGTGTCATACCCCAGCTGGGCGATGAAGGATGTGATGACCTTCACCACGTAGGGGATGCCCAAGTTCTTGGCTGGGATGCTGAAGGCTAGTCCCATGCCTGTGCCAGTGTCAACCACTGACAGCACTGTGTCACTGCACTCCTCGAACTTGTCGGCCAGGCTGGTGTCAGTCTTCAAGAAGCTGTAGTCAAGCTCGAAGTGGTTGTCAGACAGCTTCTGCTCCAGGGTCCTCCGCTTGTGAGCAATCTCCACGCCGTGGCCTCGGGTGCAGAATTCACACCATGGTTGTGGTGGCAGATGTGTCAAAGCATGCTGCCTCATCTCCTCATCGCTGGGGATCACTGGCTTTGGAAGCTCTTGAACTTCAGCTCCACGCCCTTCTCGCAAGGCCTGCTGCCTCTCGCTATGCTTCTCCACATAGTCTCTTGCTGAGGCTCTTCGCGCATTCAATGCAGCTTCTGCTTTCTTCAGCCTTGTCCACAGGGTGTGCTTGTCGCCATAGATAGGCTCATCCAACTCTTTGAGTCGGGCTCGAAGGTCTGCCACCTTGCTCCACCCATGCAGCTTCTGTCGGTCTGCACGAGCATGGGCTTCATCACGAGCAAATTCCTCAGGCAGTGGGGTCATCTCAATCCCTTCTTCATCTTCGTCCACACCGGCGAACTCCCAGTCATACTGGTCACCTTGACTCACCACCGGTGCCACAGTAGCATCAACCTTCATGTCATACGGCACGGCCTCATCATCCACAATCTTGATGTAGTAGGAGTTCCTGTGGATGTAGAGAGGAATCCTGAATGAGATGTCAGGATGGCTGAGGTATGGCTTGAACTTGTTCCTCATGTCAGCCACAAATCCATTCTTGCTCATCTTGCCAGCTGAGAGCACGTCCTTGCTGGCTTGCTGACTCACCTTGAACTCCGTGATGGCATTCAGGAAGTTGCCATTCTCGCCCACAATCTTGTAGCTCACTCGCTTCTTTCCGAGTTTTCCCAAGCTCTTCCCAGAAATCCCTAGCAGCTCAGCTCGGCACTCTTCGGTGTGCTGGTCGCCTCCGAACACAGGTTGGCAGAGGTGTTCATCACTGCCAGAGTCCCAAAGAAGGTACTTCACGGAGGTGCCGCTAGGCTGGGAGATGTTCATGTGGTGCCATTCACTCACCTGCTTGTTGGCCTTGTGGATCATCATCACCCACATCTCATCACTGTATTCATCCTCGATGTCATAGGTGTCGGCCCATGCCTTCCTCTCGTCATTGTCGGGGTCAATCCAGTAGTAGACAGCATTGGTGCTGCTGCCTGGAGCTCCCTGGGGTGACGGTGGTGCAGCTGAACCACTCGGTGCTGCCTGCACTGCATTCGTGCTGTTCTTGCCTTTGCCCTTGTCGCTGTCACGTCGGGCTCGATCTCGGACCAAAGTGCGACAGTCTGCCTTCTTGTGGCCCCACTTGCCACAGTAAGAGCACTCGCCGTTGAACTTCTTCGTGATGGGTGCTTTGCCTTTTCCCTGCTTGTCGTATTTTCCACCTTTATTGACTCCTTTGTCTCCTTTGCTTGACTTGCCCTTCTTGCCCTTCTCTGCATGCGACACTGCTCCCACATCCATAGGTGCCACGCCACCATCGTCTTTGGCCAGCGCGCCACCAGACTTGTAGATGTTGCCGGTCTGCAAGTAGTCCCGGATGAATTTCTTTGCTCTCTCATAGTTTGTGCCAATCTGCGTTCCTGCAGCTCTCATGGCATCCTTCACCGGGCTTGGAACATGTTTCATCAACACGGCAACCCGCATGGACTCAGAGACCGTCTCTTTCGACTGCATCTCATAGCGCCTCACCAGCACTTCCCATGACTCAATCGTCTCAAGGATCTCGGACTCCTTGATGTTCTTCCAGTCAGGCGCAATGATGGCTGTGAGCATGGCCATGTGGCGTCCACCCACTGGTGGTTCATAGGCATCACACAATGCCTTCCAGGCTTGGAATCCATTCTGGCCCTCCACGTTCATCAGGATCTGGAGAGCTCTGCCGTCGACGCTCTGGGTGAGCAGGTTGAAGAGCACAGTCGACAATTCCTGGGCTGTGTCACTCATGTCGATCATGGACAGCTCGTTCTGCGAGGCGGCATTCTCAGCAGCTTCCAGCATGCCTCGGTAAGCACGGTCGAGCAGGTGCACGTAGCCCCGTGCAACAAACACCCAAGCCGGCCAATCTTCATCCTTTCCACTGAATGCTCGAAGCCTCCCGATGGCTTTCGTGTCGATGAGCCGCGGACCAGGAACTGGCTGAGGTAGTAGCGGATGATGTTGGGATGTAGGCGACTCGAAGCCATCAGCCGCAGCAGCCGCCATGTCGAAGGCATGAGGCGGCGTCACAGGCGCTGCCATGTGCGCTGCTTGCCACCCGGCACAGGGATTTACGCCGTGCCCACACCACGAGATTTCACGTGGATTTACAGGGTGCCCGCCTCACCGCCGCCACGAGGGCCTTACGTCGGTTTTACAGGGGGTCAGGAGCGGGAGCCTTGGCACGGCTCCGCTACCATGCAAGTGATGGCGCCCCTTTTCCAAGACCTCAAAAGGGCTGCAAATGTACGTGTACAAAGTGTATGTAAATGCTTGCATCCAACCCGAGACTCTGAGAGACGGAACGAAGATGTCTTAAGCCTCAAGTCACTCTCTAATTGATGTCTCTGACAAACCTGGTCCCAGAAAGTCTCAGAAATCTGACTCACTGACTTACACCGTGGTCTTTGGGTCCAACAAAAATAGAAACTCTTTCGAGGGGTCTTCGAAAATGGTGAACTGTGTGTTCGCCAGCTGCTTCGACCCTTTGTTTCCCCTCTGGCCCAGCTCAACCCGCCTTGTGGCCGGCCAAGGGGCCTCGGCGTTTATAGCTGAGCATGGTGGTCACCTGACTTATGGACCTGGGGTTTGTAAGTGGTGGAAATTCCTGTTCTTCAGGTAGCTCGTTCCAGGTCAAAAGGGGTACCCCATGTCTGAAGCAACGAAGGTCATCTTCGAGTCACCCCCAGAAACACGAGTGATGAAATCCGACCGTTCTTTTTTCTGCAACATCTGTACGATTGGGGAATTCGCTCAAAAATTGTGAGCCTGCGCGCAGTCAATGTCAAAAGGGCACCCTACGACACTTGTGGAAAAATGTTCGACCTTCGCACTGGATTTGATTCTTCATTTGAAACTCTGCTTCTTAGTAGATTCAGTAGATGAAGATGGTACAAACCCAGAACTGCCTGTACAGGCCGTCGTCCAAACAGTCAAACTAGAAGTTGTTCCATGAATCTATGTCGAACCTTTCCAACTTGACCCTCCTGCTCCGAGCCTGCTCCCCACCGCAGCGGACCCCCATTCGCCTTCCGTGAAGAGCACCGTGAGCGACGGCTCGGCGGAGCTTTGCGCCAGGACCTTGCGTCACGTTCTTCGGCTCAGCGCCCGTGCCCATGCGGTGCCTGTGTGCCCGCCTGCATCTCGGTCTCCCCAAGCTTCACCATGAGACCGGGGAAGATCTGAAAGTGGCCTCAAAGATTCAACAAGCTCGGTCATGTCACCTCATGTCATGTCTCATTAGTTCAATCTCGGGCTCCCCACCATGGGGCCGCAAATAGAAGAAGGTCCCAGTGGTCGAGCCCAAGTCTTTCAGGTTGAACTCTCCGTCCATGAACCTTAGATCCGCACATTCCAGCAGAAATACATTATGATGTGATGTCATTCAAAACGACTCTTTTATAGTTGGTGAACACTCTTTTTGTAAATGTGCTATATCTGAGAGGGTGCAGGATTTCTTGCTCACCATCGCCGCGAACGCGGTGGTTAAAGTCTCGCAGCTGGACCCATTCTGGAGCCAGTGAAAAAGGTGCATAGTGTTTAGAGGCCAAATTAGCTAACCTCAAAGCAGTCAATAGCCTGTCACCGAAAGCTGGAAGTTTATGCTGTCTGCTGCCTTTCGACCTCCCCAAAGCTTTCTCTCTTCCGCTCCACGATATCTCCCGTCATCATCTCAACAACCCTTTCCACGCGTGCGCTTAATCTGGAAGCCCACCTTTGACCTTCACCTGCAAGCACCTCATGAAAACAAGGCATCTGCCCCCCACTTCCACCACATTCGGAAATGCACGCATGGAACAAGAAGCCAAGGGCATCTGTGGCACCAAACCATAGAAACATTCAGGTTGCCGCTAACCTGAACTCCCCAACCAACGAGTGGTTTTCACTTCGTCCGGCCCCAGTGCCTGCAGTCCCTGTAGTCCCTGCAGTCCCTGCAGTCCCTGCAGTCCTCGTCCTTGAGACTCCAAAACCACCCGCTGCACCAAGCTGCGTGATCTCGCAGTGAAAGCGACTGATACCCGCCTCCGGGATCACCTTGTTCAATGACATGACTCGGAGATGGCGATGGCTCCAAAAATATTGAAAGTTCACATGCTCTGCAAAAAAATCAGTTTTAAAATGATAAAAATGTATGTCTCAACACAAGGCAAACAGAGCTGGCAATGGGCTGTGTGGCAAAGCATGACCCCATTTTACTGTTTCTTTCAGGCAGCACAGCGTACAGCAGGGTTTCTTTGGTCCTCAAACGTGGGGAAACTTACCCAAAATGCACCATGCACCAGTTCCAATCCGGGATCAGACTTGTACATGTCGTGGATCGGCTGTTTGAGACATTGGCATGAGTCAGGCAGGATCGTTGTATTCTAGTCACAAGCGTCATGGAAAAATCATGGTCTGCAAGTGGTACATCTGCAGCCGGTAGCCAAGCAAATGCCCTCCTCGAAGAATTTCCCACAATTGGGTCATGCTGAAAACGCCAAGAGACTAGTGTATTGGAGGTGTGCCGTCCAACCCGAGCGCCCTCCTGCCGGCCATCCCATGCAACTGCGCGAGAAAATCGGGTGTGTCCGTCCGGCTCACAAAGAACTCACAGGCTCAAGTGACATGCTGGCTTGAGTCGCTTCCAACCATCGATTCACCTGGCCCCGCTGGCTCCCTCCCTGGGTTTATGGTTTGTGTCCCGTCTCCTCGCCCACGGTGAGGAAGGTGCCCTCCAAGGGCCCGTCGGTGATCTGCAGCTCGAGTCGATGACCTCACACAGTGGCACACGGTCAGCGGTCGAACGGTTCTTCTGTTCGAAGGGGGAGAAGAAAAGAAGCATGGAAGAAACTGTGAAGAACGTCACAGATTTGGGGGGGGAAAAGAACAGTTCCAAGAGGGCATGTTTCTCTCGTCTCATGCCACAAATGCAAAAAAATAGAGTGGAAAACGGGCCGCCATCTGCGCCTGAATCAGCTTCCTCCACCCTGGCAGCCACGGCCAACAAAGGGAGACCCTAAAGCCTCCTGCGGTTGGTCCCTAACTGCTTCTTGAAAAATGTGTCGCATAGCCTGGCCATTTGTTGATTAAGACAAAATCCTCTTTGGAACTGGTGAACTGCACATCCCCCAAGAGTGTCCCCTTTTGGATTGATTTCCGACCAAAGAAAACTGAAGTGTGAGAGCAACATTGAGCAACTGGTCCGATTTCTTCATCGACAGGAAGTTCGATCGGTTTATCGAAGCTCGAAATTGGAAGGCCCTGGTTAAACACTTCCACCCGCCCACTGGTCCACTCACTTCAGGCACCTCGAACTCGTCTCAACCTGAAGCACTTCAGCCGAGAAGATGGTGGGGGAGGTGGGACAGGGCCCGACAGGGCCTCCCGGCAGGTTTAATCTCAACATTGAACAAAGTATCCCCTTTTTGCCAGAAAACGGTCCACTGGCGGATGTTGGGCAGTTTTGCTCTGACTCACCCATCCCAAGATGTGTTTTGGTGGACACTACTGAGCACACGTGGCAAGCATGCCCCTTGGCAAACAGCTAGGTTGAGCACAGAGCCCAAAAATAGTCTGTTTCGTTCAGAGAACCTCACCTGAGATCGTGTCCCAAACGCCCCGGGGACCTCCCAAAAGAGCCACCGTCCGGTGTTCTCCGAGTTCGGCACCTCCAATGGAGCACCCTGCAGGCTCGGCAGACTGGACAAAGAGCCTGGTCCCGAGGTCGAGGATTTACCCGCTTGAGACGCTTGAAGCCAGGCGAGCGCACAATCCTTCCAAGGAGATCCTGTCGGATGATAAGTCAATTATCGGTCCATCGGCATAGCGACACGAGCGACACGTGCTTGAAGCTTCTAGGGAATCAGTCGCCGAGACAATCGCCGCGAAAACCCGGGAATCGCCTGCAAGCGGCACAGGAGCATCCTGAAGGAGTCCAGCGGGAGTGTCTCCCAGTCCGCAAAAATCATGCCAGAGACCTTCCCCAGAACCCACTGCACTTCCGGGCCTTTGAAACGGCCCAGAAATGAATGGGCCCGTTCTTGCCCAACTCTTGCTCCATGGACCAATCATTGCGATTCCCCAACTTGAATCACCCCCAGCCCAGCCCCCCACCTTACCCAAAGTTTCTCACAAAACCTACCGCCAACCAGTCTAGTCTACGCCCACTCCCGCCCAATCCCACATTCCTACTATGCCCAGCATGCCCGACGCACCAAGCCTCTGGGATGAGGCTGAGGAATGGGAAGCACTCCACCGCCCGACGGCGGCTCTCTTGCCGCAGCGTCACCGGCGCACCACCGAAGAGGAAGGCGTAGCCTCGGGTTTTCAGCGGAATAGTTCCAATTCTGGTGAACCAACGAAGCCTCGAGGAACATCCACCAGGTCACAAGGTGAGACAACCCATCCATACCCATTCCAACCTCTACGCGGTTGGATGGGTTCTTTTGTCTTTAGTCTAGAACACGCCTGCCACTCAATCTCGCAAAGCTGTGCAGCTGCGGAAGCTCTTTGGGGCAAAGACTTGTACCATCCAACCGCCCCCAAACCGCCGCACGGATCGCCCGGGATTTGGCCCAGGCGCTGCTCGGAACCTCAGAGCCGTTCACCGACCGAATCACAAGTTAGAGAGATGGGACGGAGGGACGGGACCTCCCAAAAAAACTACAAGTTGAGCTTGCACAATCAACCTCCACCAGTTTGAATTTGAATCTTTTATCATCCTTTCCATTTTTCCCCCCAAATGGAGCACAAGACATGGGATCAATGGCAATTCAATCTGAGGGTCACGAAGAAAAAATCGTAGCGTCACCGGGCCGTCCAACACCGACCGCTGCTCCCGGGCGTGCTCTGACTCAGGTCGCTGCTCCGGGTATCTCCTCGGTTGCGCTCGGTGATTTGAGGTCACCTGGTTCACCTGGGTAACCGAGTGGGGAACTCCACAAAGCCCACAGAGCACCACCAAACACGTGAACCCTCTTAGAATCATCTGGTAGTTTCGAAGCAACGAAGCTCTATCCACCGTCCACCGAGGCATCCGGTGAAACAAGGAATCCACCCCACAGCCAAGAGAGAATCATGGTCCGATACCCATCGGACCATAAGAAGGACTTTGAATGAGGGCCCCACTTGAGTGCCCCCGCGAGCCATGCTTCTTGCTGACATGTTTCATCTTCCTGGATACTTTGTCGAACATCTGCCAGTGTGGAGGCTTCATTGACCTGTCTGAGCCAGGTCAAGCTGAAACACAATTTCTGCTGTATTAAAATAAAGTTTGGTTTTCATGTTTTGTATAGTTTATCCATGTCGCTTCAATTGCTCACTCTGGATGAGTGGACGTCAAATGGTGCCCCATGCCTTTTGGCAGATGTTTCAGTCAGATGAGGCCTGTGACACTTGCAAGAACAAACCCGTTCATGAAGCGACGCCCTTCAGACTCAGACCCTTGAGCACAAATGCTCAGAAGAGTTGCTGTAGCAGGACGACATACCAAAATGAATGCAAAAAAAACTCAAGGAACTATATAATGCATGTAACAATAGAGGTATCGTGTTTTTGGACGTCCTGTATCGTTTTCCAATGAAAAAAAGAAATCACACTCTTGGATGAAACTCCCTTGTAAAAGTAAATGACGATAATTTTGAGGCCCATTTACATGATGGGTCATTTGGGCCAGCTGCCGACCAGGTAAAATGTTCAGTCGGATGGTCGCCTCAACAACTGAAATCTACAACGCCGTTCCTTTGCCATCTGCCTTTCACATGGATGTAGAGCACGCATCACCTTCCACGCCCACCCCGCCTCCACCCCTCCAAGCACACGCTCATTCAAGCAAATTCCTTGGATGGCTGACACTCGCAAAACATTTCAACAAATTCCCGGTTTTACTCACGCTTGATTCATTTTCGACCTCTTTCATCCCCTTTTCACTTCAATAGCCCTCCCCAAGATTGAAATCCGTTCGTATCCTCTCAACTCTCGTCAGGCAGCGGAGAAGCCGTAGGGGCGGTCCAGCGCCGCCCCGCGGCGTCAGGCTCCGCCGGGCGCCGGGGCCCGGCGCCTCCGCGCGGTCGCCCGAGCCGCCTCGCCGGCCTGGCGCGGCTCCCCAACCGGTTTATGGGACCCTGGAATGGTCAACCGGGAGCCACGGATGCAACACTTCAAAGGGCCTGCGCCCGTCACCGTGTCCATATGCCCAACATGGCTTCGACATTGCAAACGAATACGAAGGATGTGTTGAATCAAAAGAGTTAATTGAAGGTTTATTAGTCGCATGACTCGAGCAAAAGTGAACTGCTCTGTTTCCCTGCGATATGTGTAACGTTGTTTGCATAACTGCCGTGTTGCCTGTGGGTGCGAATGCGCTTACAACCCGACAGATCACAACAAATGGTAAAATTGTGAGAAAAACAGTGTCCTTGAACTTGATGAGAACAAACAAACACACCGTAAGCACATGAGCCAAGAAGGCTGAAGGCAAATGTTGTTGCATGATTGCTAGGCCAGAGCTATCGAAACTAACATGTCGTGGGACGAGTATGGACCAGTTATCATTTGGGACCCAAGCCTCCACTTGCAAAATCAGTAGTAACAAGTGCCACGCTAGTAGTAACGGGTGCCTTACTAGTAGTAACAAGGTTCGCTAGTAGTAACAAGTGCCACGCTAGTAGTAACATATAAAACTTGGAAGTCCCAAGTCCGCGAACCAAAACACAAAGCATCATGCAAGTCAGACAACGAATGTCCTAGACAACACTCAGTTTGCAGTTTGCATTCCTGGCTGTGACATAAAGTCATTTACATTGCACCAATTAGACTGTTTCTAGGCTTTCCCACTTTACTCCACTGAAAACTCCAGTGTCATGTATTCGCATCATGTATCTACCAGTCATTTTCCGCCTCCGCTGATTGCCCCTTGGCTTTGTAGGTATCTTTCCACATCCTCCTTCGCTTTGGCACCACTTCATGGCATCCAAATTCACAACATACAAATCATGCATATTTGCATGTGCTTTTTGTATACACTATACATCTATACATGCAGGTACCTTCCCAACCATCATACAATACTTGTGTATTATAGGAACATGTAAAGCTTAATATTTATTAGTTACATAATATCATAATATGAATGACATGACATAAATGTCAAAACACGACATGTACCACATAAACTCCCAGGTGTGAAACTCCTTCCGGAAGTCCAGGGCAAGGTTCTTGATTACAAGAGTCGACACCTGCAAAGCGTCCGGCGTGCCCGCCGGAGATGTTGCGCAACAAACATTCATGAAGCGTCATGAATCTGAAACGGTGCAGCTGGACCAGCTCCTTGCCTCTTCACCACTTTCTCTACGACTGGGAACTGCTTTGCCTGACAGCATGTGCGTGCTTCCTTGAGAAAGTGAAAGCAGGTACCTTCTATATAATAGATCAGTGATTAGTGCTTTCGCTCTTGTAGCGCAACATCCAAGCCTTTCCCATCAGGATTTAGCAACGGTGAGGCGGCAGTCGCACAGCTCTTGAGATGCACGGAATGCAGCTAGCTAATGCAAACAGTTGACTCATCTATATATACACTAAACATGTTTGTGCGAAGTAAGCGCGGGATGCCCAGAACAACAAGAGCAATCCCAAGACAATATGCCCACTCTTCGTTGGCAGGAAAGTCCTCCGCCCAGGTTGCTTCCGGCGCTGTGCTTGGCCAACATTGGAAGGGCCTGACAAGTGAAGTGAGTGAGATCATGGCCAGCTTTTGGAACGTCGGTCGACATAGATCAGCCTAAGCCAGCCTGAGCCTCGCACAGGCCATCAGTTGGGGAGAGCGTATGTCACGTATTCGTAGCAGGTGACCCAACCGAAGCTTCACTCCAAGACGATGCGGTGCCTGAGGAAGAATACATTCTTGTTGCCAGTCAAGTCCAAGTTAGGCAAGGGCATTTTGTCGCCAAATCACGGTGTGCCACACCAGCACCTCCTCACCTCGAGCGAAGCTTCTTGGAACCCCACTGGCTACATGCAAAACTGTATAGCTAGGCTACAGCTTTGATATGCTTTCATAATTCATACTCTATTTTTGCAGGGCTGGTCTGCCACAACATCCTGGGGTGTGGAAGATGCAAAGTACATCAGGAGAGGCACAAATGAGAAAGATCACCAACCTCACCTCTTGGCAGTTCTCCCTGGGCTGAATTCGACCTAGCAAATTCGTGGGGACCCAAGAAAACTGTCGAGATGGAAGACCTCTCCTTTTGCTTCACCACCAAGGCTGACTTTTAAGACTAATCTGAAAGAAAATCAACATGCTCAAGCCATGCAGTTCACTCACATCTTGTACCCGGCCTCACATCTCTTTACATCAATTGCCTTAAGCTCCCGACCGGCCAAAAGGAGCAGTCCAAATCCACTCTGGTGAACATTGAGCAGTAGAATTGCAGCCTCCAGTGATGAATGGCGCAAGTAGATGGAGGATGTGGCAATATTTGCCGTGATTTGATCCTAAGGTAACCAACTGTGGCTTCAAACAAAAGTACAAAGAATGATCCTCACCTCGTCTTGAGCTCTGCATCCCATAAGCTGGGAACTGTCCGATCTGTCAGAGTTGGGCATCCCCGTTCATGTACTTTGAAAAACAGATCATCATCCGAAGATCTTCTTCCCATCAAGAAGGGCTTGTATTTTCGGAGAGAGATTGGTAATCCAACACTGCTGCTATCTGTTTTACGAGTCTTGCGGTGAGTTTGCAGTGGACCCATGAAGGCAAGTGCCATCTTTATCCACCCGTAATCAATTACGTGGGTCTCAACCTTCCAAACATCTCAAGGTACTTGTCCGTCCGCAGGGTGTTCACCCCAGTGTTTGGGGATTAGCGCCTCGGCTAGCTCCGGCAAACGGCAAGCAATCTGCCCAATGACCTCCGGCAGGCGCGAGAGTTATGGCCCAAAAATTGCCAATAACCTCGGGCAAACCACCAGGCGCTGTGCACTTGGGGCTTTGATGGGCTCTGGGATGCTTTGGACAACTTGGAAGACTTTCCATCATGTGCGCTGATCAGCATCTGCAACCCACATGGACCTTGGAAAAATAAATGCAAAGAATTTGTGGGCGTTTTTCCCTGCGCTACGTTAGAGCTGCAAAGAGGAAAATGACCTGACACCTTTCTTATGAAGGTGAAAAATCCAGGGCCCTTCCCACAAGAGTAGCTTCTTGCTCACCGACAGCTGCGCTTCACCTACATCCGTCTGCAGGCGCGACTCAGACGTCCATGGCATAAACGGCACCGGTTGCAGCGTCATGCACACTTTTGGTGCCATCATGCACCTTGTCGCATCCCCATTCTGCCAGGGTGGAACCGACTTTGTAGCCAGGTTTGTTCGCAAGGCCAAACTCATCCTGCCAGAAGGTGTGGCACCATTCGCGACCGCATTGCCAGCAAGTAGAGACATGGTGGAGCGTGTAGACGATTTTTGGGCCTCATCTCGCGACATCGGGACATGATCAAAACACGCTCCGTCAAACGCTCCGTTTGTTCCGCCCAGGCACCGGAGGTGACTGGAGCGCCAGTCTTCTTCGTGAAAGGGCAGGTGAGACACACGCTCACGGCCACACCACCGAGAATGGAAGCGTCTGGTAACGGAAGTGGGGGTGGGACGGCCACAATCTTCAGCAAAGTATAGCCGAAAAAGAATTTGAAGGCGGGCGTTCTCGAGAGCCCGAAGGCAAGTCCTTGGCAAGTTCTTGTGGGAATCTGTCCTTTTCAAGCACAAGTGCACATTACACACGAAGGCTAACAATTTGTTTACACTTTTTACAAAGTCTGGCTCTGCGTTTGCGCGTGGCTCTGCAAAGGTTTCAAAGTCGTGGCATGTCATGCCGAGGTGCCACCTCCACACTTATTCGGCAGGTTTAGGGGCGGGCAGGGAATTCCGCGGGCGGCAAGCTTCATGAGCGCGCCACCACTCACGGCACCCATCTTGACACTTGGCAAACCCAATGGGTTTGAGACAGGGGGGCTGTAACCGAAGGCAATCACAACCGACCCGGTTTTTTAATTGCGAGTGGTTTGCTCGTCAAGAGGTCAAAGTCGACCCCACCAAGGACAAGCAAGTCGGTTGTGAGCTTCCCTCCTTGGCATGTAAGGCGGCCTTGAATGGCAATGGCACCCTGTAAAGCAACTGCAGTGGCCTGCATCCTTGGAGAGAACCCAACTTCGACAGTAGCGGCACCAAAGTCACTGCATGTCTCCGACTCGCCCTCACCCTGCAGCAAGGCAAGTTTGGAAAGTCTCTGCCGCAGGAAGGCGGAGAAACTGCCGAAGATGGACTGCACATCACTCACAAGGCTGGCCAGCCCTGCGGCAGCTGCGTGGCGGTTCACAAAGGCGTACCGCAGGGCCGCCACTATGCCTCTGATCGGATCTCTCATTGCCTGAGGTACGCACTTGCTCGTTTTGCTGATATCCATAAAGGGAGTGGGCACTTTGGCTGAACCTACCTCGAACGTTTTCGTGACACAAGAACTGAGCTTGCTCCTAACTGAGTCGAACCTGCCCGTGATTTGGTAAACTTCATGGAGGTTTGCGAGCAATGTCTTAAGCTCTCCAAAAGCTCCGCAGTCCGAAATCTCGAAGCTCGGAAAATTGCTGGAGCAGAAGTCCTTGTCATCAATATCGCCATACTCCTCAAAAATGTTTCCCATGTGCTGCCGCGCATCTGAGAAGAAACCTCCGAGAGCATTTGCAGCCCCGCTGATTTTGCTGGCAATAGCCTCCATCTCATCCATTAGTTGCTGGGCGCCCGTCATCATGGCGTCCACATACTGCGTACCTTCTGCCGAGATTGTTTCCCTTTTGTCCTCCACCCACTCGGACATGGTATTGATGAGTTGCTCTCTGGCGGCCTTCAACTTGTTGAGGCAACTGTCGGCCGAATAGCAGCCTGTGAAGATGCTCTGCAGATTGTCGGGGATCATGCCCATGACCTCTTTCAGGCAGTCCGCACTTGTTGCCGCTGCAGTCTGGGTTACGCCCGCCGAACACCGCACAACAGTCTCGATCAAGTTTGGAAGGCAAACCTGCCTCCCCCACACCTTCCAACAGCTTTTCCTCATTTCGGTGCACCACCTAGGTATCCAGGAGCTCAGGCATCCGTTCCGACTTGAACCCACCTGAGGGAGGCTGACCCCAGAGCTCTGTGGACGACTGTCCCCTGCATCTGGCAAAGCAACAAGCAGCTCTTCGTATGTAGGGGTCTGAGAATTGTCCTCGTCGCCACTCTGGATGATCGCCGCCACTTCTTGGTCTGAGAGCCGCAGCATGGAGACGCTCACATTGAGGTGACCTGCTTCAGCCGGTTCAGGTTTACTCAAAGTCTCTCAAAAACTGGGAACTCAACGTCGCATGTCACATGCATGACATATGACATATGACATACCTGAGAAGGGAGGGGACGAAAGCCAGCCATCGTAAAAGATATCAATATGGTTATGGGGGGTGAATGCGAGACCCTTGGTGCTCTTTTCCTATCACCTCCTCCCCACGCTATGCCCATTTTGTACATGAACTCCCATATGGGGCGCCCTTTTGCGCGTGGTCAACAGGCCTCTTCACCATAGAAAAGGGGCACCCCCAAGCAACTCATTCTGTTCCCTCCCTTTTCTCAATGATTGGGTCCATCGTTTCTTGCATTCTGTTCCCTCCCTGTTCTATCACGTCCTCCTCCGCTATGCCTCTCTCGTCCACATGAACTCCCACCCCATGTGGGGTGCCCTTTTGAGTCCGGCAACTAGGCCTCTTCACTGTTAAAAAAGGGCACCCCCAAGCAATTCAATTCTTGCCCGCTGCATTTTGTTTTCTTTCCTGCCCTCAACGGACCACAGCGTTACATGAACTCGCCCCCAATATGGGGCGCCCTCTTGCGTATAGTTGGCCGGCGTCTTCACCATTAAAAAAGGGCACCCCAAGAAACTCTAACATCTTGCAAACCCTCTTTTCCCACCACGTCCTCCTACGCCATGCCTGTTTTCCACCTTCCCCACAGCATTCTGGCCCCTCACAGATCACACAATATCTCAA